TATATGGCATTGATAGAATTGAAAGTGTCAAATAATTGTTAATTATTGTAATATAGTATGTAGTACTTTTTATGTAGTTTTTACTATTTTAAAGCATACTAAGTATAGTATTACTTATATTATTTTTGAATATATATGTTACCTTTTTTATCCTAATTTATATGGCATTGATAGAATTGAAAGTGTCAAATAATTGTTAATTATTGTAATATAGTATGTAGTACTTTTTCAAATGATTTAAATTCAATATAGCATTACTACCCAAAACATTGCAGGTAGAATTGTAGATGTTGACTATTGTATCACCTTTTTGACAATGAGCAAAAATATGTATAAATTGTATATTATTACAACTTATATAAGTATACTTAATATCTTAATTAAGATTAATTACAAGTCAAATAAATAAAATTATGCCATTTGTAAAATCCTATTGAACGTGCTATGCACGTTTAGCAGAATCTCCTGGTCTTTGGGAAATACCAATTATTAAACACCTTTTTTAATTATTATTTTTGTTTCTGAAAGTTTGTCTATATAGATAAAGTTAATTAGGGTGACTAGATTATTTTGGCCAAGAAAATTAATTAAAAGTCATTATTATCAAAGCTTCATCAAAGTCACCTTGATTTTGTTTTTTTTTTTATAATTTGTAATTAATCAATAAATACGATATCATAATTAATCATTAAACAAGAAATAGAGTTTTGGATGTGAAAAATCGATTCAAGACACGTTATAAAAAGCGCTGGCTTCAAAGTAAATTTACATTGCCAATCAAATACAGATAGCAAAATGACATCCCATAACCTATTGTCAAAATGCAATGAATCATTAATAAATTTTCTATTATGACATTCAAGTAAATATTTTTTAAAAACTCTTATATCTCTTTAAATAAATACCAACATAATATATATTTAATATTCAAAATTTACTGATTCGATGTACAAAAAATCAAGTTAAATTCTCTATTATTACATGTTTACTAATCTTCACCTATCACATCATCAAATTTTTATTTAAGACATAAAAAATGAATAAAATACAAATAAAGTCTATTATTTAAGACATCTCTAGGACAAAATTTTAGGTCTTTATCTCTCATCTTGATTGCTTACACAATTTTCTCTCTATGCATAGAGTTCTTCAAAGGATTTAAAGTAAGAATTATTTTTCTTCTTCATGTTGTTGAAATTTTTATATAAGAAAATAATAATTTCATCTCTTTTTGGTTCTTTTTTTCTCTTTAATTCCCCTTTCTATGAGCTAAAATTATTTGTTATTCTATATCTGCAGATATATTAAATCTAAAGGAATAAGCTCTCTGTTGGAAGTTTCAATTGAAGAAAAAAAAAGTACATTCTGGTAAGAAGTCTTTGCTTAATTATTTTTGTTTTCTACTTGATGTCTAGTCATGTTCAAATTTTTCAAAAATGTTGTATCATACGTGTCGAAATATTCAAAAATGTGCATTTTTGGAGGATTATATTTCTATAGTGTTTGAACAACATAAATATTGTGAACCTGTTTTGAAGTCTGACTAATCAGAATTCACATAAGATCTATAAAAGGGCACATTCTACTACAATATTTTTCATACTCAAGACTCGATCCTGATTTTTATTGAAATTTGTGTTTTTCATGCTACCACAATTTCCCCATCTCTCTATTTTTGAAAGAAAAAAAAATATTCAATTTTTACTTGGTTGACTTGATTAAATTTTTATTTTTTCAGAAGATGGCATCAATCAATAATGAAGAATTTCAAGAAGAAGACATTTGGGGTTGTAATAATAATAATAATAATAATAACAATAATAATGATAACATTGTTAGTGAAAAAAACCAAATTAGTTCAAAGTTCATCACAAATCCAAGAAGGTTAATTATTCCAACTTCAACCAAGATGATTCCAAAGTCAAAAAACAAGAATTCAATTCAAGAATTTAAGATTGTCCAACACTCCGCCCCAGTAAAAATACCTGATTGGTCAAAGATTTATGGTACAAAATTAAAAAAAGAAATTAATAATTTTGGAAGTGATGATGATGACGAAGAAATTGAAGAAAATGTTATGCCACCACATGAATGGCTTGCTAAAAGGATTGATAGAAGAGAAATTTCTTCTTTTTCAGTGTGTGAAGGTGTTGGAAGAACATTAAAAGGGAGAGATCTAAGTAGGGTAAGAAATGCTGTTTTAACAAAAACAGGATTTCTTGAATAAATTTGCAAATTATCATCAATGATGATTATTGGAGGGTGGTTGGAAAAAAAGGTTGAAAAATTGGGTCCCAATTGAGTATTGGTGGTGGCGGCAATTTTTGTTCTTGTTTTTTTTTTTTGGTCTATATGTAAAAAAACGTTACGTGATTTCTTTTGATCTATACGTGAATGTTGAAAGTTTGTAAATATTTATGCTTTCATCTGTACTTGAATCTTAAAAGTGAATTGATACTTGTGCTGATGAAAGATAGCAATTGGTGAAAGATATTTAGTATTACTGATATAATCAAAGAATCATACAAGTTGGTCAGGTGATCTTAGAAATTGTATGTGTTACTTCCTCCATTCATCTTTACTTAGCTTGTTTGTGTTTGACTAGACACACATTTTGATAAACAATAAATAAAAGGGTAATTTTATTAATTATATCACGCTTATTAATCATGTAAATCATGTTGCATAAGATAATAAATTATCTCTTGATTTTTTTAAAAAGAAATTTTCGCAAATAGTCACTAAAATAAACTTAATCATGCTTCATAGCTATAGTTTGCTGATTACGATTCGTAGCTACATGTTAGAGGGAAGAGAGATACAAGCGAGATTGGGAGAGGGAGGAGAGAGGCGAGCGAAAGAGGGCAACAAGTGGGGAGAGGCAAATTGTATATGTTTATTTGTCAAATTATATATATATATCAGATAATTGTATATATGTAATTGATATACATATGTATTTGTATATCTGACGAGCGAGATTGAAAGAGGGAGGAAAGGGGCGAGCAAGATTAGGAGAGACGAACGAGAGAAGGTAGAGACTGGAGAGAGACGAATTATATATGTATATCTGTCGAAATGTATATGTATATCTGTCAGATAATTGTATATATGTAACTGGTACACATATGTATTTGTATATCTGACGAGCGAGATTAGGGGAGGGAGGAGAGAAGCAAGCGAGAGAGGGCAGCGAGTGGAGAGATGCTAATTGTATTTGTTTATCTGTCATATAATTGTATATATATGTGTATTTGAATTTGATAATGTATAAAAGAGGAGATAGGCGAGAGAGAAGAAGAGAGGAGAGAGGCAACGTAATTATTGCTAACATTAAGTTGCGAGTGGTAATTAAAGAAAATCATTGCTATGTTAGCTAATTAACTAGTATATGTTTGTTTATCCGCGTAATTTTCCCTTTTTAAATTGAACAATTATTTTCAGTATACTGAACAAATAAATATAAACAAAGAAATTATTATAATTTTGAAATAATTCTATATGTAGTTGATTTTGTTCGGAGATTCTCTATTTAAAATTAAAAGCAAACTAATATTAATCAATTTTAAACTTAGTACCATAAACAAATCGATTTTTTAAAAGAAATATCATTAATCAATTTCTATATAACCATTCAATATTAGATTTACTAATTTGAATTATGAAAATTCACGTCAATATAAGACTCAAAAATAAAAATAAAAATAGTTCCTATTTAAAATGTCTTCCTTATCAAATTAGAATTAGAATTCCTTTTTTATTAGGATTTAGGACAATTTTTATACGCAAGGAGCTTGGAAAGGTGAAACAGTAAAGATAAACAACTATTTTTAGTATATTGAATAAATAAATATGAACAAAGAGAGTATTATAATTTTGAAATAGGTATTTATACCGTTGATTTGGTTTGGGGATTTTCTATTTAAAATTAAAACCAAACTAATATTAATCAACTTTCAAACTTAGTAGTTAGTAGTTAGTACCATAAACAAAACGATTGTTTTTTTTAAAAGGAAATATCATTAATCAATTTCTATATAATCATTTAATATTAGATTTACTAATTTGAATTATGAAAATTCACGTCGCTATAAGACTCAAAAATAAAAATAAAAATAGTTCCTATATAGTAGTTGATTTGGTTCGGGGATTTTCTATTTAAAATTAAACCCAAACTAATATTAATCAATTTTTAAACTTAGTACCATAAACAAATCAATTTCTATATAATCATTCAATATTAGATTTACTAATTTGAATTATGAAAATTCACTTCATTATAAGACTAAAAAAATAAAATAGTTCCTATATAATGTCTTCCTTATCAAATTAGAATTAGAATTCTTTTTTTATTAGGATTTAGGACAAAAAATTAAATCATATATAACTAGGAAAAGGAAAAACCGTCATAACGTTTCCTATATATATATATCTCCTATAAACAATCGAAACCTTATTAATTGATACTCCATCTAGGTCCTCTCTTTTATTGGTGTTTCAAGGTGAGTTTTTTTTCTTTTTCTCGCAAATCAATTGGTGTTCAACGACTTATTTGATACTAAATAAATTATTTATACATATTACTCGAATGTTCTTAACGTTTTTATTGAATTTAATTTCCTTCCCGTATATTATGGAAGTTTTTGAAAATTTAATCTTTTAAACTTTTTGGGTTGAGGTACTTCACTTTTTTATTGTTAGGGGTCTGTTAGAGGTCATCTTTGATTATTTTTTTTCCAATTTGTTTTGTTATATTTTTCTTGAGTCGAGTATCTATGGAATACCCTCTCCAGATCCATACATTGTGGAATTACACTAGATATGTTGTTATTGTTGTTGTCATTGTTGTATCTATAAACAAGTTTTACGCAATGTAGGTTAATTAATTGATATATATCCAATTTTTAAGGTGTATACAAATTTAAATAGTATATTTTTTTATTCTTCACAATTTTATTGAAAATTTGACTTCTAAAAATATGATTTTTTTTCTTTTCAGCTCTCTGATTGTCCAATCAGCAAACGACGATTTCTCTTTGGATTATAAATTAAAGTTTTCATACAACAATATACATATGGTTGATACAATTTTTCAAATCTCAACTTCTTTTGATCCATTCGCGGATGCCGTGGACTCAGACTCTGATGTTCAAATCCCACGGAGTTTCGATCCGTTCGCCGAGTCGAAAGACTTAGGTGCCCGTGGAACAAAAAAGGAGTATGTGCATATTCGTGTACAACAAAGGAATGGTAAGAAAAGTTGGACTATGATTGAAGGTTTGAAGAAAGATTTTAGTTACGAAAAAATACTTAAGGACCTTAAAAAAGAGTATTGCTGCAATGGAACCATTATCCAGGATAAGGAGCTTGGGAAAGTGATACAATTACAGGGCGATCAACGCAATAATGTGTCCAAGTTCCTTGTGAAGGCTGATATTGTTAAGAAGGAACAAATCAAGGTTCATGGTTTTTAAGTTTTAGAGGCATAATATTTAGTAGTTGACTAGTTGTGTATTGTTTGCTTTTTTATTGTGTTGGTTATGCTTTTTTTAATTTTGAAATCTTATAATGAAATTCGTAGAAGTGGATCCTGAGTTTAAAGTTTATAGATTTTATAAAGACTTTATAATGATTAAACGATAATTGAGTTCACAATCAATTGTTTGTAGCTATTGTCATGTTACCGTAAACAAATGCAAGATGCTAAATGCTCAAGTGTTGTTATCATACCATGGGCATTCCTATTGTTAGGGAGCTCTCTCGAGTTGAAGAGAATAATCTAAATTGAGTTAGGTATTATTTTTTTTGATTCATATCGCTTTATAATTGTATCTTACTGTATCGTTTTAGGTAGCATATAACATATTAATAGAAACTCTCCGTATTGCAGAGAACAATCTTAACTAAAACATTTTTTTCGAATTTGTTTCTGACTTATAGTTAATCATAGCTTATCATATCGTGACCTCTCGAATTACAAAAAAAATTGGATTCGTTTTAACTTATAATCAACGGGGGAGCCACACATATAAACATTCTTTTGTCGCAAAATTACACTATGTAGATGAATAAAAAATATTATATGTATATAATTGCCACTTATAACTTCATTTTTACGTTATAATTGCCATCGTAGCACGTGTGCAGATTAGAGTAGCACACAATAAATGGGCCTAAATATTGTCCTGCATGACTTTTGGGCCTATATGGGCTCTAGGAAGTGTAGCCCATAATCAAATATTCCGAAAATATGCCACCATAATAATAATAATAAAAGGAAGCGAATAATAAGCCAATAAGGTAACAGAAGAAAAACATAGTAAGCAGAATCGGAAAATGACGTGGGCCGCCGCCGCAGCAAGTCGCTTCCAAATTCCGGCAATGGATGTCGCCGCCCTACGCAGCCGAGCTCCGGTAGTGTTCGGAGTTGGCTGTGTGTCACTTGCTGGGGCAAAGTTCTGTGGTTCTTCATCAGCTCGATCAAAGCCCTTCGCTTGCTTAAGCATTTCCACTGATGCCAGTAAGTCCCCTCAGTCACCATACCATGGAATTTTTTCTGTTTGCGTAATTTTCTAAATTTTTTTGACGGACTCAAATAGTTTGGATTGAAACTAAGTTGATTGATGTAAATGTAATAAAATTTGGTATTTTCTTAGCTGATTGATGAGTGTTGTTGCTTCTGAATGGTTATAGAGGATTTATATATATTATACTTAGACCTGTTTGGATTTGAGGCATAGTTTTTGACGTCGTGCTACCGAAAATATTGGGATTTTGACGTTTTTTTTTTGGATTTAGTTCTAGGTAATATGCAGTGATTTCTTAATTGTGTTTGAGCTTAGAGTTTAGTTTAAAATTTGGGTGTAGACTGTAATCCTTATTCAGGAAAGCAATATGTAAACCTTGCATGTTTTAACATTTGTAAGTGCTGAAAAGAACACTTATCTTGCGTTATCCAAAAAAAAGAAGGCGTATCACTAATGGCATGAGATTTTGATGCTGCTATGCAGAAAAAAATGATGCTTAGTTGCTTTTCGAACATGAATGCTCTTAAGTTTGATAAGCTACTTTCTATGTTGCCAATCCACTTATTATAGACGATTATCTGTAATTAGCTTTTAATTACATTGTTAATGAGTAAAACTTAAAACATAACCACTTAATTTGTTTAGGCAAATTAAGTCCTTGAGATTCGGAATTGTTATTGAATAGGCAAGCATTATATCTAGAAATATACAAGGGTATAGAGAAAATTCTCTCTCACACACATTATCGAATTTCTGGTATCTTAACTTATTTCTCAAAGAGTTTCTTAACCTTATTAATGAACATTTGTTGTATGTCATTAGGTATAAAGGAGGCTGTTCACACTGAAAAGGCTCCGGCAGCACTGGGGCCATACTCTCAAGCCATCAAAGCTAATAACTTTGTTTTCGTCTCTGGATGTCTGGGTCTTATTCCAGAGGTTTGTGCTATTATCGTATCAGCTATTGCAAATGCTCAACATCATAAGCCTGAAACAGTCTGTGTACTAGTTCTATTATTTGTCTTTGCTTTTTGCTATCTTTAACTAACTTATGATTGAATGCAGACCGGGAAATTTGTCTCAGAAAGTGTGGAGGATCAAACAGAGCAGGTATTTTGGTAGTCAGTCGTGATTAGAATGTTCATGTCAGTACTTGAAAGTTGTGTCTCCACTTAGTCATTATTGGATACATTTTTTGATGCTAACTTATCTAGGAAGCTCACATGTGGTGTAGCGTTGCATGGCTCTTTTCTCTTGCACTATAGGGTATGCAGTATTCTCTTGTAAAATATTCTTCTCGCCTACAGCTGCAAAGCTTGTGAAGAAGTGTGATGCCAAAAAGTAGATTTCTACACTTGATCCCAAATAGTGGTAGTTCAAAATTTCAAAATTGAAACTCTTTCTTCAACTTTAAAGATGTACTTGAAGATATCATTGCCATGCCAGTTGTAGGTGCTTTTTTAAAACTCTATTATGTCAATCTTAACCCTCAATTCTGAGTAGTCGTGCATTACTAATTGTCCGGTTCTAAGTTTATGTGATATAAAGAGGTAGTTAAATTCCATCATCATGTTGAATAATTTGAATTTTGCATTTCACGGGATATGACAAAATGAGTGCTTGTTTTAATAAGTTAAACAGAAAAGATGATAGATAGCCAGGAAGGCGCATACCCAACTTCACAAATTGTTCTCTGCATCTACTTGTAATCTCCAATTTTCCACCAAAAAACAAAAAAGAGTAGATAGCCGACAAATAACAGTTCTCGATTTTAGTTTGATGTTTGGTTGTCACTATTCCGTCTTTTTAGTTAAAAAATGCTGTCTCTAAGATTTTGAGCTTAATATTGATATCCAGGTTCTCAAGAATATGGGGGAGATACTTAAAGCAAGTGGCGTTAGCTACTCCTCAGTTGTTAAGACAACTATATTGTATGATCTTTTGTTATTTCTTCTTCCACCCCCTAGGTTTTTGCTCTCATGGTAGTCTTGATTTTTTTTTCGTTGCTTCTCTCTCTACAGGTTAGCTGATCTGAATGACTTCAAGAAAGTGAATGAGATTTATGCTAAATGTGAGTCATGATATTGGGAGTTACAATTTTTATATGTATACTTTTTTTGCTTTGCAACATTCATCAGTATGAGATTCTTCCCTCTGCTTACTTGAACACTGCACTAAAATCAAAGATAAACCTGAATGGATTTAAGAACAATAAAAGTGGATGCATTGCATATCATACTTCTTATTTGGTTGCATGAAGGCTCATTCTATGTCCTGCCTAGTTTCCTTTTGGGATATCAGAGAGATCGTGCCTGAAACAATCAAAGGTCTACTGTTGTGCTCATGCATTTGATTAGATCATTGTTTACGGCCTGGGGAGGTTCATTCTTATTTTTTGGAAGAAACGATGAGCCTGACCATATGTACACTGATGATGTAATAAAATCTTTTGTCAACAATAATCGTGACATTGTATTCAGCACTTGAATGCTACTTTTTCATTTGTGCTAGTCCCCTGTTAGTAACTAGACTATCTTGCAGATTTTCAAGCTCCTGCACCAGCTCGGGCAACTTATCAGGTTGCAGCACTGCCAATGAATGCAAGGATTGAAATCGAGTGCATAGCAGCATTATGATTCTATCTTACCTATTCGTTCAACAACTTATTAGACCTCGAAAGGTGAAAGTTTGTTGACTTCCTAGCCTACATTCCTAGATTTAATAAACCGGGAGTTAGCTACTAGTTCAGGAGCTCTTGTCTACCTTCTTTTAGCTCCAACTTCCCGGAGCTGAGAATAAACTTTATTTAAGAATGTATTGTAACTCAGCGGCCATGAGAGGATTACATGCGATTGTGCTACTCTATTGTGAAGAACAAACTTGGTGATATTTTGGCCCTACTGTGTATCCTGTTTAGTCTTTCCTCATCCTTTTTCGTATTGTTTTGAAGTCACGAAATCATTTCCTATTTGTTGATGCAATTGAATTTGATAACGCATTGGCCTAAATTTCTGCTCTTCAGAAACTACTCTTTTCTGTTTTGAGCAGCTGAAATATTGATACTGGGAGATTGGGAATCGGCTGAAACACTCGAAGATATACCCCCTCCATCCTTCGGAGGTGGAAGAAAGGGTACTCTAATTTTAATACATAGTAGGGCCCCAGAATGCTACAAGGTGGGGGAACAAGAGTTGTCACGATAGATTCAGTTGTATCGAACAAAAAATTTATGTTATTAATTGACCCAAATTTTATAGTCTAATTAGACAGTTTCTCAAACACATTATTATTTGAGGAAGTGAGTAAATATAATTCTTTATAGAGGAAATACATAATTACCCCATGGAACTTATACCCTTTTTTTAAGTAGACACCTTAAGTTGCGGGAGTCCTATTACCCCACGAAACCATCCAAAAGCACAATAAATACATCATTTTTTCAACATCAGTGCTCTCAATCCAAGAGCGTGTGCCACACCTCCAACCCATTTAACAAAGGCCGGGTTTTATCCTAACCCATTCAATTTTTTAACCCATAACCCAAACCCAAACCCAAAGAAACTTCCAACCCATTTCACTCTCACCTACCCTCGTCTCTCTCTCTTCAACCGATCAAAACCCTAAGAAATTTCATGAGGCAAAGCTAGTTGGTAAAATTGCTTGTTGAAATTTGTTGAATATTGGTGGCGGAACGAAGAAGTGAAGGCTCATAGGTTAGTTTATTTTACATTGTAAGTGAATTTTGTAGTGATTAGTCGTTAGTTTATTTACATTGTTTGATGCGTATTTCGTTTGTTGTCATGTTGTTGTTGTGTATATTACTCATCTGTATTATTGGGAAGTTGGCCTGTTGCAGTTGATGTGTATTTCTTTGTTGGGTTGTTGTTGTTGAATATTTTTGTAACTTTCATTGATTCAGTGTTTCTGAGATTTGTTTGTAACTGTGTTTTCAGGATTTCTTACAATGTCATTTGTTCTTATAACTTTGAGATGGTATCATGGGGGCAAAATTGTGTTTGGTCCCTCATCTGATTATGTTGGTGGGTCTGTGACTGAATTCTTGGAAGTAGACACTGATCGAATGTCTTATTTTGAACTGAAAGGCTACATAAAGGACTTAGGATATACAACAGATTGTTCCTTTTTTATTAGATCTCCAATCGATGGCTTTTTTGTTGAAGTTAAAAGTGATAAGGTTATTTGTGACATTTCCTCTATGTTTGAAAATGGGGATAGAATGGATGTTTATGTCTGTCATGAGGTTAATGAGCCAGAAATTGCTCCATTGGCTTTGGATTATGTCCCCCATGTGATGGACAGTGGTGTAGGTGGGGTAGGTGGGGAATCTTTTACATCTTTTAATGAAATTGAGTCTCCTGTTGAACCTTCTAGTCCTTCTTCTGAACATTTCAACCCTTCATCTCAGCCTTCTAATCCTCTTGGTGAACCTTCCAACACTTCATCTCAGCCTTCTAATCCTCTTGGTGAACCTTCCAACACTTCATCTCAGCCTTCTAATCCTCTTGGTGAACCTTCCAACACTTCATCTCAGCCTTCTAATCCTCTTGGTGAACCTTCCAACACTTCATCTCAGCCTTCTAATCCTCTTGGTGAACCTTCCAACACTTCATCTCAGCCTTCTAATCCTCTTGGTGAACCTTCCAACACTTCATCTCAGCCTTCTAATCCTCTTGGTGAACCTTCCAACACTTCATCTCAGCCTTCTAATCCTCTTGGTGAACCTTCCAACACTTCATCTCAGCCTTCTAATCCTCTTGGTGAACCTTCCAACACTTCATCTCAGCCTTCTAATCCTCTTGGTGAACCTTCCAACACTTCATCTCAGCCTTCTAATCCTCTTGGTGAACCTTCTAACACTTCTTATCAGCCTTCTAATCCTGCTGCTGAACCTTCCAATCTAAGTGTAGAAAGTTCAGATGATAAATCATATGATGAATCAGATGAGAGATTTGAAGTGTATAGCAGTGAAGAGAGTTTAGATAGTGATGTTCATGAAGAGTATAGGGATTTTAGGGCTTTAGAAGGCATTTCAACAGGTCAAACAGGAGAACTAGAGGCACAACTACAGAACAGATTCATACTACTGAAAAGGGCCCAGATATAGGATATGATGAAACAAATGTTGGCAGTAAGGATAGCTTATAAGGTAAGTTAGGGGGTGATGAACCTTACTATCCTAGTGATGAAGCTCCTAGCTTTGAATTAGAAGAAGAAACAGGATGGGGATATGGTGAAGAGGTTGAACAAATTGTTAGAAACAAGAAAAAAAACAGAGTTATTTTTTATCCAACTTCTGAGAAGATTATTTGGGAATTAGGTTTGGTGTTTGCAAATGTAAGAGAATTTAGGGAAGCTGTAACCAAATATGCAGTTCAAGAAAAAATTCAAATTGAGAAATATGTGAATGAGCCTGGAAGAGTCAGAGTTAGGTGCTGCAAAAAGGGTTGTCCTTGGTTATTGGTTGCAAGTTTGGATAGCCAAACTGATTTTGTGGTTAAAAGCTACAACCCTATCCATATTTGTGTGTCTTCAACTCATAACTATTTGTGCAATTCAAGGTTTCTAGCTGTTAGATACAAGGATAGAATAACTGAGCAGCCAAACATCAGAATTATCAAGTTGCAAGAGCTTATTAGAAAAGAATTGGATATTCAAGTTGGAAAGACAATAGTGAGAAGAGCTAGAGCTAGAGTGTTAAAAGAGATTATGGGTGATCATATTGTTGAGTATGTTAGAATTATGGCATGGTTTTTGAATCTAGTGAAGAATGATCTTCATCTTGGAGAAGGACATGAACTTACCCTGATTACTAATATGCAAAAAGTATGTCCTTGGTTATTAATACGCATTCATCTTATATATACTTTTTGATTCACATTAACTCTTTTATATGTTTATTTTCTTTCTTTAATAGGGACTGGAAATTGCAATGGAAGATTTATTACCACTTGCTGAACACAGGATGTGTGCTAGACATGTCCTTGCAAATTGGTGCAAAAATTGGAAGGGAATAGAGAGAAGAAATGTTTTCTGGAAGATTGCCAAATCTACATTTGAAGCTGAATTGAGGGACCACATAGATGCTATGAAGAAATTGAAGTGACTGCTTGGATGGTCTTTTGTACTACAATGTAGAAATGTGGTGTAAAAATACTTCAAAGAACATAGCAAATGTGACTCTGTTGGTAACAATATGGCAGAGAGCTTCAATTCATGGATATTGTCTGCAAGATACAAGACAATCATTACAATGCTGGAAGAGATTAGGATAAAGATGATGAAAAGAATTGGTCAAATTACGAGAGTTCTCAAACACATGGGTCACTGATATTTCTTCCATGGCTTTCAAGATTTTACAACAAAACATTAATAAGTCAATGAAGTGTAACATATCATGGAATGGAGAAAGGGGTTTTGAGGTTGTAGACAAAGGCTTTACACATTGTGTAGACATTGTTAGGCGCACTTGTAGTTGCAGAGCTTGGCAGCTTAAAGGCATACCTTGTCCTCATGGTGTTGCTGCCCTACACTACAAGCAATATGAACCAATTCATTATGTGGCCAGCTGTTATAACAAGGAAACCTACCTAAGGACATATGAATATGTTATCCAGCCAATGAACAATATGAAAATGTGGCCACCATCTGTTAATCCAACAGCTCAACCACCTGCAGTTAAACAGTTGCCTGGAAGACCAAGTAAAGCTAGAAGGAAAGAGGCAAATGAAACAAAGAGAACTGGTAAGCTTAGCAAACGTGGAGCTGTTATGACTTGTAGCAATTGCCATATAAAGGGCCACAATAAAAGAGGTTGTCCTATTCCTCCAACTGTTCCAACTCAAACTGCAACAACTTCTACTCAACTACAGGTAAATGTATCAATTGTCATTAATATTTAGTTGAATATATACTAATATGTTGTATTATAATAATCAGGCTAGATCAAATAATGAAAATGGTAGAGGAAGAGGAAGGGCCAAGGGAAGAGGGATGTCTCAAGGAAGCCAGGAGAACACACAGGCAATGCCTCAAGGAAGAGGAAGGGCCAAGGGAAGGGGGACGTCTCAAGAAATCCAGGAGAACACACAGATAATGCCTCAAGGAAGAGGCAGAGGAAAGGGCGCCAAAGGAAGGGGAATGCCTCAAGGAAGACAAGAAAATGAAAACACAAGCAACGGAAGAGAGATGCCTCAAAAAAATCATGAGAATGAAGGCACTAGTGGTGGACAATCTTCAAGACCTTTTAAAAGGCCAAGGATGGTAGGATTTGGAGTATTGATTGGTGATGATGGTTTTACAACTGTTAATGTAAGTACAACTGTTATTGGTTGGTGATGATGATTTTCATATACTTTTACTAACCTTTGTGGTTATTTATACAGCCTGGAATGCAAAGTAGTAGAGTTGTTGACATTGGTACAAGAGTTCCAAGGAGGTCTGATGAAGTTACTAGAGATATTGGCTATCAACCACATTTTTGAGTGAAATGGAAGGGAAAATCAGCCATTACGAGTAATAGACTTCAACAAATGAGGGGTGAAAAAAGAATTCAAACAAGGTCTGCAGCTGCTGCTATTAATGAAAGCCAAAGCAATTCAACTACTAAGAAATAGTTGACTTTGGGGTTGTTTTTTTGTGTTTGGTTATTATTGTGTTATTTACACTTTTCTTGATACCAAACTATATTTTGGTGCATTATTGGGTATCAATTGTGTTTTGCCAAGTTTGTTTATGCAACTTTCTTCTTTGTGACATTTAATCAAGTTGTATCAACTTCAAATTTTCAGTAAGAATGAAATGAAGTTCTCATTTTGTCACAATGATTGTCATTCTGATTA